AATAAATATAAATAAATAAATAGAGAAAACAAAAATTATAAATTTAAGGTAACTATGAAGAAGTCTAGAGAATGAAGAACTCTAACTATTTAACAAGCTGATGAAATTATTCTTTTCTATGGAGAGCTCTAACTAAATAATAAGCTGATCAAATTATTCTTTTCTACTTTGTTAGTTAGCTATTATTAATGCTTACCTTGACTCCTGAGCTCTTTGCCATATGCTTTCGCTCGGCTTGATTGTCGCCCTGCGTATACGTAATTATTCATAAGCCCTGCACTCTGCATGCAAAGGCACTATAAATTATTATTGCATGCAAACAACGGAAAAACAAGTGTACATATATATATTTTTATTTATGTATATATGCTTGTAGATATGTCTTCAAATGTATATATTTGTGTGCGTGTGTATATGGAAATATAGGTCGTCATAATTTTCCATAATCGCAGGTCGAGATGACGCCATGTTTAAAGCGCCAAGCCAGCACACTAACTAGCGAAAATGCAACAGCAACGGCAACAGGAACAACAGCAATGTGAAACTGCAAAATGTGACTTTAAAATTTATGTGGTGTTGCTGCACCACTGTTGCCTTTAAAAACAAAAGGCCGCGACCGGTTGCAAGTTTATTTGTAGCAATGCCCGCCCCACAAAGCTTCGCATTTCACCTTGAACTATAAAATTAGTAGTGTGCGCGTGTGTGTGCACATGTGTGTGTGTGCGTGCGCGTGTCTGTGTTTGACTCTGTGACTTCTACCGGCAACAGAAGTGACGTATGAATAACGCATACAAAAATAAATGTTGCACAACCAACAGCACGCATTTGTAGTTGTGTGAGAGTTTATATAAGAAACATACATTTACCTCAGATATACTATGGCAATTACAACCATTACAAATTACAACCAACTCGCTATTATGCGTTCACATTAACAGTTATCAGCTGATATGTGAATGTGTAAAGGTAGGAGTAAAGGATACCAAACCAAAAGCTACTTTTTTATACAGAGAGAGGGAGAAAGAGAGGAAAAGAGAGGGAGACAGAGAAAGGAGGGAAAGAAAGAGGAAGGAAAGAGAGAGAGAGGGAGACAGAGAAAAGCGGGAAAGAGAGAGAAAGACAGATAAAGGAGGGAAAGAAAGAGAGGGGAAAGAGAGAGAAAGAGAGGGAGACAGAGAAGTAAAGTAAGTAAATTATTAAATTACACATTTTATAGTTTAAAGATATGCTTATTATTTTATACAAGACAGATTGCAAATAAAAAGATAATAAAAAAAAAAAAAATTTATAAAACAACCAAAAAGCCTTATAGAAACAATTAATAGCACTTAAAATTAGAAATCTATTTATTGTATGCATTATTGTATTCTAATTATGTAAAATATTGTATGTAAATTATTTTATCAGGATAACACTGTACAACAAATTAAGAATGCGAGGTTAACAGAAATTTCGTGCCCGTACATAAATTAATTATGTGAATCCTTGCGCAATTTTCTCAAACAAGACTCTAAGTTCCTTTGTCTGGCCAAATTTTATAAAAGCTAAGCTCTACGGCTTGATTTTAGGCACTTTGCATTAATAAGCACCCAAAGCAGTTAGTCGGGCAATCAGTTTGGGTAAGCTTAAATATGTAAGCACACGGATATGTGTATGCGCAATAAATAAATACATACATGAAAAATTAACCTACGTCGCACACTTCACAAAACTTTGCCTAATTAAAAATGCCAAAAAGTCAGGCAAAGTGTGCTGGCGTTGCTCTTAAGTGGGGTCAGACAGCAGGCAACAATGACACCAATGACACCCACACTCTAGCACTCACACACACACACACACACACACGCACATGGCTATGTGACATGTCAGACAGGCCAACAGTCAGTCAGGCCGGCAACCAGGCCATAAAGCACCGTCCAAAGTTGCGCTTGAATGCCTCAACGATGGCAACAGCTGAAGGCACACACACACACACACACACGCACTCATACATAGACAACGGCAACAGCAACAGCAGTAGCAACAGCATTAGCAACAAAAAACAATAGCAACAGCGACAGCAACAGTCTCACCCAGGCGTTGCAAGCAACTTGTCACATTGTTTGAATCACTGAATTATGCAAATAGATATGCACACACACAAGATACTCTCTCTCTCCCTCTCTCTCTCCCCCCCTCTCTCTCTCTCTGTATGTTTACCCTGTCACTAACAAAAACAGCAAAGGCAATTTGCCAAAAGTCTTTGCTATTTAACACCACACAAAAATAATCAGAAAACATTCAGTTCGAGTGACTAAGCGACTAACTAAAAGTTGCACATGTTCGAGCACACTGACTACATATATATGAGTGTGTTTGTGTGTGCGTATGTGTCTGACATTTGTTTTATACTCACCCACCGTTTGTTCTTGTTGTTGTTGTGGGCAACTTCCGGTTTGTACAGCACGCCGAAGTTGCTGTCGGTTGCACCCTTGACAATACTAATACAAACAACAGCAATAGCATTAGCCACGCCCACTGCAGCCGAGCCGCCCACTGCTGGCAGCAACGAGCGTGTGAACTTTCAATGAAACAAGTCGACTTTAAAGCAGCAGCTCGACCGCCGCGAACTGAAATTTATTTAAATCTCTGCAATAATTGTTCTGAGCGCCTGTTGCAGCTGTCTTGCGGTCTTCTGGTAGCTGCTTTTCGTATATATACCCTGTAAGCAACATTCTATGTACTACTCGAACTAGATAAAACAGTCAAAGCAGAAAGAAAATCCAGAGTTGGCATTAGAATATTCCAAATTCTTGGTGATTGATATGGAATGACTTGTTTTATAGAATTTCGCAGCTGAGCAATGGGTATCAACTAGTCAACCACTAGCCATTTTAGCTAAATCTGCTTCAATTTTCTTCTTTCTATACTCATTTTTGTTGTTTTCTTGCCTTGGGCGCGCATAAAATTAGTGGCGGAAATTTATTATTCTTGAAGTTGGCTTTAATGTCAGAAGTTAGCGCAGTTTGTTTATGCTTGCTGCGCCCGCAGCGAATCG